TTGTTGTTGTTGTTGTTGTTGTTGTTGTTGTTGTTGTTGTTGTTGTTGTTGTTGTTGTTGTTGTTGTTGTTGTTGTTGTTGTTGTTGTTGTTGTTGTTGTTGTATGTTGTTGTTGTTGTTGTTGTTGTTGTTGTTGTTGTTGTTGTTGTTGTTGTTGTTGTTGTTGTTGTTGTTGTTGTTGTTGTTGTTGTTGTTGTTGTTGTTGTTGTTGTTGTTGTTGTTGTTGTTGTTGTTGTTGTTGTTGTTGTTGTCGTCGTCGTCGTCGTCGTCGTCGTCGTCGTCGTCGTCGTCGTCGTCGTCGTCGTCGTCGTCGTCGTCGTCGTGGTTGTTGTTGTTGTTGTTGTTGTTGTTGTTGTTGTTGTTGTTGTTGGTGTTGTTGATGTTGCTGATGTTGCTGGTGTTGCTGTTGTTGTTGTTATTGTTGCTGTTGCTGTTGTTGTTGTTGTTGTTGTTGTTGTTGTTGTTGTTGTTGTTGTTGTTGTTGTTGTTGTTGTTGTTGTTGTTGTTGGTGGTGTTGTTGCTGTTGTTGTTGTTGCTGTTGTTGTTGTTGTTGTTGTTGTTGTTGTTGTTGGTGTTGGTGTTGGTGTTGTTGTTGTTGTTGTTGTTGTTGTTGTCGTTGCTGCTGTTGTTGTTAAGCCCAACTTCAATCCATGGCTGACTTCGACTTGGAACTTCATGGGTTCTTCCAAACCAAGCGCCACATAGGGCTGTGGTTGCTTCTACTTCAAACTCTCCAAGAATGGTTGTTAAAAGAGGAGCCAGCCGGTGCTTGGTAGCACAAACACATGCACACGGCTGAAGGCTGAAGCAGCACGGAAAGTCAAGCCCAGAATCGGTTTACCATGCCACAGAGCAGATCCATGCAAGGGGCTCTGATAACAAAGCATGACCCCGAACCCCAAACCCTACCCCACACCCTGAGATTCTAAAGCGCAGACCTTGGTGACCCATGCTCCTCTTCAGCTCCTCCCTGTTGGCCAGAAACTTGCATTGGTCGCATCCCGTTAATTTTGTCAGCTAATGTTCCCTTCATCTTAGCAACCCCCACGCTTGATTAGGCATGCCGGAGAGAATTATTATTTGGGGGGGGGGGGTCCGAAGCCCTCCTTTCGGCCTTTCGGTTTTCGGAATGCATTCCTGTTCTAGTAGGGGTTGGCTTGAGGCTTTTTTAAAGCAGAGGATGTAGGGGTGGGGAAGTTCAGGATCCGGGTGCTTGGGGCCGTGGGTAGACGAGTGCGAACACTCGAGAGCTCTTGCAGCCATGCCGCCGAGAGCCAAAGACATGAAGCGCGTCTCCGCGATGATCGCCTCTTCGACGGAGGAGCAGATGAAGAAGAAGCTGTCCGAGCGGCTTTACTCCGAGCCAGCAAGCGTCGCAACGCGGATGTTGCACATGTTGGAGGACGGGCACGTGTGGTGCTGCAGTATGCACTCGAAGAGTTCGCTTCTGGCCTGGTGAGCGATGTGCCGCTTTTTGCAAAGCATTCAAACGGGAAGAAATTGCGGGTCGAATGATCCCAGACCCTGCAGACTCTGCTTGCAAGAAGGAGTGTCTCGGCACCTTCATGAAACGAAACCCTAAGCCTAAAGCCAAACCTCAAAACCCTGAATCCTCAGCCCTACCTAGACCCCCCAACTACCCTCTAGTATATGGGTTTTTGCGTCCCTATTATAATACGGCACCTATTATTTAGGGTAGCCAAAAAGGGACCAGAATTTTGACAACCACTCATCTATACCCCAAATACCCACTGTTCGGGACCACAAGGCCTCTACTTGAGGGCCTTTGGGGGCTCCTGGACCCAAAGTCCGAATCCAACCTCCACCCCAGCCCTAACTTAAACCCTCAACCCTAAGCACAAGCTTAGGTTTAGGGTTGAGGGTTTAGGGTTTAGGGTTTCAAGCCCTGAACCCAAAGGCCACGAAGGGTTCTCACAAAAACCGCATGGGAACGGGTCATGGCCTTCCAGGATCGGGGACATCCAGTTCAAACCAAGAAGAAAGTCGAATGACAAGTTCTGGCATAGTATAGAAGGTGTACCCGGCCCGGGAGACTTGTTTCTTTGCTCCTGGCTTGTTTTGAGCTTGCCCTCGAATGCAGGGGGGGTTGTGAGTAGAAGGAGCTTCAGTTACCCAGCATTCTGGATTGACGCCTCTGTAGCTCGGTTGTTCGGCACTTCTTGTGGCCTTCGGCAGTCAATGCTGGCACAAGCATGGCAGGCAAATACGGCAAAGCCTGGCGTCATCAGCAAACAACGCACAAGCATCAGATTCGGAGCAGCTGAGCAGCCTCAACAGCATAATCCCCCCCATGGTTTCCACCTAAACATCTAAGCGAAACCGAGCTAAAATCTGCACGACAATTGTGCGGTTGCTATCGGTACTTCTCAATTGCTGTTTGGGGTCGAGGCTGGTATAATTTTGACATGTTTGTGGTCTTTGCATTCTGCCAATGTGGTGTAATTAACATGTGACAATCGTGCTTCTGAGGCCAGTCGCTGCACATCAAGTTACAATGCCTTCGCAGATGTCCGAGCGCTGCAGATAGTTTGATCGAGAATTTGGCGGCGTTGGGCTTCAGCGAGGATTTGGATGTTTGCCGGGCCGCGCACGACTTGCTGCACATGTGTGCAAAGAACCGGTTTGTGGCAGACCGCGTCCGAGAGTCCCTTCTGCACCTCTTGGGATCTTCCCCCACATCCGGCGATTACTGGCTCACAACGAAAGTGGCTTTGGCCTTTGTGTTCCCCTCATACAGCCCGCTTGCTACATCAGCTTGGTCTCATCGACACCGTTGGGTGCGAGTGCTGTTTAAGATTCTTGCTCGTCAGCAGAAGTTGAAGTGCCAGAAGTTTTGCGCGTGCTGCATCAGGGCTCTTTGTAAGGGTGGTATCACCACGGATTCCGTGCAAGAGCTCGTGGTTGCTGCAGCGCCCGGTTTGTCAGAGTTGGCCCGACTCACGCCAGCGCTAGAACGACGATGAGCAACGGGCGAGAAAGACCGACTGTTTTTGCTGTGCTCGGGTACTTGCCGCTTGTTCACAGAATCTCGCAGTTGGATCTCACAGGCTGGTCCCACAACACGCCTTATATACATATGCAGAAGCACGTCCCACAAAATTTCTGCAGCAACAATCTCAGCATGGGCGCCGCCGAAAGCGTGACGGAGGCCGCTTCGCTGCATTGGTAATTTCCCCAACGTTCTGCAGGCATGCCTTCGTGCGCCGCAGAGCACGCAGGATCATATTCCAGAATCGGATGAGCCGCTTCCTTGGCACTTGAGGCAGATGCTGTGATGGTCAGGCTACGTGTCTGCGCTGACTTGTTTTGCGGGGCTCACTTTGAAGGTCCATGCGCCAAGGTCGCGCAGAGCACTCCGCCGCCTCTGCCGCATCGGGTGAGGCTGGGCAGGCACAAGCCTTGATGTAGCGAGTGGCACGTGATTGCGGCTTACTAAGTGGCAAGAAGAGCTTTCCATTGCAAGGCCGGCTGGGCGATAACTGTCCTCGGCTTCTTCATTTCCTTCTCTGGCGATGCGAAGCTTGCCCAAAACGGGCTTTGGTTTAGGTACCCGAAGAAATTCTTGGTTGCAGTGTGCAGCAGAGAAGCATGTTATTTCCAAGTAAGATAGAAGACGGAGGAGTTTTCGTGCGCCTCATGTGCCATGCTGTGTGTCGCGCCGCATGTTTGAACACAGGTTGCCCATCGATGACAGTAGTGAGGAGTGCCCTCATGCGAACGCGAGTGCCCGTGCATGGCAAGTGCTGCGGGCTGTGTCTGGCAAAGCTTGGGCTTGTGCTGAGCGGATCACTGGATTCCCTGACGCAGCCGCACGAGGCCGAGAAAGCGGCTCCCGACGTGGTGGAGGACGCCCCATTGACGGTGTTCTGCAGGTATATGGCTTGCTCGTAATGCAGGTGCCTGTGATTCTGGCCTCACTAATGGCAAGACAGGAGCACCCATCAGCATTCCAGAAATCCTCAAGGGGCATTCGACCCTGTCCAGAGCACGTACGCACTCCAAGAGCCTGCAAAAAGAAGCCGTTCGAGGTTCCTTTTCGGGGCACCCTAAATATTAGGTGCCGTACTATGTTAAGGTCCGAAAGAAGGGACCATAATGTTGACAACCACCCATATAAACGGTCCAAACCCAATATGGAAGTTACCGAAAATTAGGGGTGCCTTACTTTGGGGTCCTTATAGTAAGGATCCTACTGTTTAGGGTGCCATATTAGGGTCCCCTATCTTCGGAATCCCCATATAAACGTTCCCGAGGTCTGGCTCTTGCCGAGTGACGACCCGGCTTTGACGGGACAACTCCTGGCCCGCTGGCCACAAATCTCTGGTCTGTTGGAGACTTCCGGTTTAGGGTTTTTGGGTTTGGGGACGTAGGGTAGAGGGTTTAGAGTGTCCGAAACCGACTGTGCCGCCTCGAGGCTGCAGATAATCTTCGTTTTGTGCGATGTTGACCGGCGTTGATGAGGTTTCACAAGGTTTACAGGCCCTTCCTTAAGTAGCATACCTTCAGGCATGGAGGCAGCCTTATGATGAATGGAGGTATATCCTCAACCATTGGATTTTTGTGCGTTTGGGCATCTTGGGTTCAAGTCACCGGGGAGAGAGGGCGATAGAGTGTTGGACACAGGGTTCGCGCTGCGGCATGTCGAGTCTTGGGGTTAAGTATTTGGGGTGTAGGAAGTGTTTGGGGTGTAGGATACGGGTCTAATGCGCCCCCGAAAGACCTACTGTACTTTTCATTGAAGTAAACCAGGAGATCACAACAACGAACCCCGAAGAGGTAGGTCTCTCGGGTTACAGGAAGGTTGAGGGTTTAGGGTTTAATGTTTTTCTACAGGCCTGTGTGCACAATCGTCAGTGACCAGAAATGGCCTGTACATCTCTACGACCCTAACCCCAACTACTGCACCTGATTATTTCGTAATTTGGATCTGTAGGGGAAACCTAGGATGCAGTAGTTCGGGTTCTGAGACTTCGAAACAGGCATGCCTGGTGCCCCCCGCCGAGCTCTCGGCGAACCCAGCTTTGGCTGGGGCACTCAGCTTTGGTTTTAATTAATATCAGCAACAGCAGTGGCTGTAATCATCAGAATAATGCGATAATTAGTGGGAACACGCGTCATAAATCAATCGTCATAACCGTGGTAAGTTATGACAGTACTATTCAGACATAGTGGTAGTTGTCCTCATGACAAACTAGCCATAACGGCATATAATGGAGAGACCATATGGGTTTCGATGCTTTGCCTCGGTATCACCTTTCGGCGGGGTACATTCAACCGTGTACCACCTGGAACATTAACCTTGCTTGCGCCAGGGAACTCAACAGGTAATTTCTTGCTTCGAACTGAATCCGGCTTGAAGTTGCTGGGTGTTGAATCTGTCGGTCGATAGTGAAAGTCAGCGTGAGTCATACCGACCCTCAGGGGGGGGTAGGGGGCCCAAAGCTACGAGTGCGCAAGTCCTAGAGTCCTCATTCCGGCTGATCGCTCCAGACCCTAGAGACTCCAATATCCCTTAATTGATGAATATACTTAAATTATAGTAGGATCCCTTATATGACATAAGGTATCTTCCTTAATTAAGGGATATTGGAGTCTCTGGGACCCTATAAGCCGCCCTCACGGCTAATCGACCCAATCCTTCAGCACATTAAAGTCGCCTGAATTACGGAACTGATGTTGCCCTTCTCAGGGTCTCATTTTGAATAACCAGCCCCATAATTCAGGAGGTGAAGGCCTATAGGAACCCGACGATCTCGATTTCCTATCCAGGCTGGCTTGCTGCGGGCTTTGGCGGCGAAGCCAGAACTGGCGGAGAGGCGCCGAAACTGCTTTTGTCGGACTTTCCTCCCAAACTGTTAGGGTCTAGGCTTGAGGGTTGGAGGGTTTGGGATTGGGTTAGCAGAATACTGCCAAGATCGGATCTTCCTCCCCGCAACGCGCCCCTAAAATCCCTGCACAAAGCCCGAAAGGCCCTGACCCTATACTCTACTGGGTGGTTGTCAAAATTATGGTCCTTTTTGGGTCCCTAATATAATGCCGGCACCTATTATTTAGGGCACCCAAAAAGGGACCATAATTTTGACAACCGCCCATGTGAGCCCGAAGTAACGGTTTAGGGTTTAGGGTTTAAAAGAAAAGTAGGACTCCTTACATGAAATAAGGCATTTTCCTTCATTAAGGGGTATTGGAGTCTCTGGGTAGTATGGTTGGTTATAATTGCTTATAAGGAATTTGGGTTGATGAGGTTGAGTTTTCAAGCGCTAGGTTTCCTCGGCTCCGACCGCATACATCTATCCGCACCCAAAACCGATAATTTCACACGCCGATTGGCCTATTTAGAACGCTGTAAATGTAAACTTCGTTTTGTGGCAGGGGTTCTAACAAAGAGAAAGCATGCGTGTACAGATAGCAACCTCTGTCGAAGTGTATAGCGTATGGGGGTTCAGGGTTTATATGACTCAGTTATGACTTGGCACTCCCTTAATCAAGGAATGCGCCTTAAATCATACTGGGGATCCTATCATAGTTTAAGATGGCAGTTGCCACGACGCCCCTGCAAGCAAAGCCTCAACCCGAAAACGTCACCCGGAGCCCTGAACCTGGCCGCCCTAAGCCATTGAAGCCCCTCAGCCCCCAAACGCTAAGTTCAAGTCTATAACTCATCGTCAGACTCTTTAACCCCAAGCGTCACGAAGCACGCCTTGGCGATAGGCTCCCAAAGTATCGCGGCGGCATGGTGGAAAGCTTTGCTCAGCTGCTTGGCTTTCCAGCAAATTAAACCCTAAATTAGTTTACACATTATAAAAGACCCTATACCCAAACCCCAGAAAAAGAAACAAAAAAACAAAAAGAAAACTATGGTTTTACCCTGGTTTTCTCGTTTCAGGCTTCACTTCTATTCAGGCCGTTGCGGTCTTTATATCGTATGAAAACATACCAAATCGACCTAGCCCATGTTTAGGCCTCCACGGAGCATTAAGGTTAGGTTTGGGGTTTTGGGGGATCCCGGAAATCCCACACCCTGAAATCCTTCAGATTTGAAAAAGCTTAGTATAGATCCTGGGCAACAAGTGAGAAGCTTCCTTTGTAGGCGCTATAGCAACCCTTAAATATGTCCCCAAAACCTATCTTAAGTCTGAAGGGCCCTTCGCCCATAAGACCTGGTAATCTGTCCTCAAGCGCGATCTCTTAAGTAGTCAGGCGCCTTCTCCCGAAAAAAGCTGACGTGACTTCGCAGAGCTTTCTGCCGTCAGGCAGCTGTCGGAAAGCCTCTCACAGCAGCTCGAGGTCCCTGCGCACGCAAGCACCCAGAGACTCCAATATCCCTTAATTCAGGAATATACCTAGGGTTCCTTTAAGGGATCTATAAGGGATCTATAGCGTTTAGGGGAGTCTAATATCCCTTAATTAAGGAATATACCGTAAGTCATATAAGGGATCCTACTATTGTTTAAGGGATATTCCTTAACGACGGGATATTGGAGTCTCTAGGCAGACCCCAAACCCTATACCCTAAAAAGTCTTTCTGGTGTTGTGCAGGGAGGCTATAGAGGCGTCATAAAGGGTTCACCGTGTCAGAGGAGGCCCTGCAGGTTTAAGTAGAGGGCTGTCTAGGGGTTTGTTTATCATAGCTATTGTAGTAATGTCGTCATAACGAAGGGTCGAATACCCTAAACCCTAGATCTGAAACCCTGAATCTCAAACTTCACCCTAAACCCTAAAACATTGTGTTCTGTTCATGTGGTAGATGTTCGAAGTACCTGTCCCCCCCATATGTGCCAAAGGTGGTCGATTCTCGCCCGGTTAGGACTTCTTAAAAGGGCCTTAAACTATGAGAATAATGGTATATTCCTTGTTACGGGTAATGCAGGATTTATATCATCAACCGTAAGGATGAGCCCTTTCGGTGAGAGGCGCTGAAGCTGCCCCCCAGTCCCGCGGCTACGCGCTTTGTCGGCCGGTTTTGGTCCCTGGCCGTGGACCCAGTGCTCCGACAGTTCGGTTTAGGGTTTGGGGGTTTAGGGCCTCCTAAAGTTCAGGGTTCAGAGTTTAGGGTTTGGGGTGTAGTTTAGGGTTTAGGGTTTCCGGTTAGGGTTTATGTAGTATGGGTTTAAAGTTTAGGGTTTGCGGCGTTTCTTTGGTCTTGTATCGTGTTTACGACCGTGTTTCGTTTCTACTAGAGCGTAATTACATCTTCAAGGGGGTGCAGAACTATGGTTTCTATGGTTGTTCCTACTGGGGTTGTTGTCGGAGTTTCGACGTTATAGTCGGAGTTTCGGGCTCTGGGGCTTCAGGGGTGAGGGCTTCGGTGTTCGGGTGTAGTGGATTTAGGGGGTATAGGGTTTAGGGGTTAGAGGTTTGGGATTATAGAGTTTAGGGTTTAGGGATTATAGAGTTTAGGATTTAGGGGGTATAGGGTTTAGGGTTTAGGGGTTTGGGATTGAAAGGTTTGCGGTCCAGGCTTGGCGTTGTTTAAGGTAGAGGGCCTGTCTGATCAGGGTAGTTGCCAGTCTCTTCGGCAGAATGAACGGTGCTCTTCATCCTTGTTTTACGATGTGGACTTCTTTTTGGGATTCGTCGGCAGCATACCGTTAATGCTTCATGGTTCGGGATTGAACGCATCAAGGTGGAAGGGTTAAGGAGGGTTTGGCAATCTTACAGAACCAGAAGCAACCATCTCAGCGGCACCAACCAAAAGACCAGCAACATCGGCAAGGTATTCATACACGGATGTGTGTGTGTGTGTGTCACACCCCGCAATCAATCAGAAGGCAAAATTTCATTATAGGACAATACGAGGAACAGGATCACTTAAAACTGCTTAAACATGTATATCGGTTTATGAAAACCCATTTTGATGCTGTCGGTAGTCCCAGGGCATTCCGTCGCGCTGCCTCCTGTTTTGTAGAGTCCAAGAACCTGGATCTCCCCTGGATCCTTCGGACATACTTTCCGAGGATGCCCAGTAGTACCCTTATTCCCTTTTTGTAGTCCTAGGTTCCTTATACAGTTACCCAATACCAAAAAGAGAGGCCTCTTTATTCTTAGGTTACTGGGTATCCTAGTTTCGCAAGATCAAAGCAATTAACAAGAAGGTGCAGCCAACAACGCCGGGGTATCTCAGCTGAAACCACCAACCTTCCAATGGGCAGAAATACCTAACAGCCCTGAAACCTCAAGTGCAGTCTGAAAGCAAGCTTGAAAGGAGTCTAGTCACCAGCTTGCAAGGATTGAAAGGCTTCTCTTGAGGGTGCTTGGCCTATATGTGTTGGAACATATGTGTCTGCTTTAAATCCATTCCAGCCTCGCAGAAAGATATCCATAAACCCGAAAACCTGAGTCCCGCGCCCTTTGGTGAAGGTTCACAAAATCATGAATGAGGGTCTTCAGTATTCAGTTCCGATCGGACATACATCAGGAGCGAAAGGAAGGCGTGTGGCACAGCATTGAAGCTGCGGACGAGAAGGCTGGGCTTGACCATTTCGGCGTCGAGATAGTTAATATTTCATTCCAGGCGGCTGCCTGTAACTCTTGGATTTTACAAGAAACGGGATGATTGCCAATGCTATTCAGCTGGTCCTTCGGGCTCCTACTGTTGTTATAGTTACATTTTGTTACAATATAAAGCCCTCAGCAACCTTAAGTCCAATCTTGAAGGCTCCTATATTATTGGGCTTCGTAGGCCTCTACTATAGGGGCCTTAATACTTGCCTATACCATTTTTCGGGGTTCCTTATTACAAGTATAGTATAATGGGCCCCAAAACCCTTTTCCAACTACTAAGGCCTCTATATTATGTACCCTAGGCAGGGCTTTTGGTTCCCGAAGACTACCAAGACCTACAATCAGTTTTGCTTGCAGAATGTGCAGATGGGCTGCGGCAGCATCTGGTGGATCTTGTGATACGATTGACGATATAAATCCTGCATTATCTTAAGGACCCTAAACTATGGGAATAATGGTAAATTCGTTAATGTGGGTAATGCAGTTTTATATCATCAACCGTAGGTTTGGGGCGGGTTGCAGCAGGGCTTGGAGAAGCGAGACAGTGCAGAGGCAGACAAAATCTGTTTGTGACCTTTCTCCGGCATACTTCAGGACTCTGTAGACATATTCATAATATGTTGGGCTTGCAAGCACGCGTGTATCAAATGAAAGCTGGTGCATGCACATGTGATGGCACACGTGTCTTCATACCCATAGAGACGTGGACGTGGACCAACCCGCAAGAAAAAAAGGCTGCATCTGTATATAGCATGTGTCTGCTACATGTGCAACTGTGTGTTTGGTAACGGTATGTGTTTGCATATGTCTTGCAACTGGCTATTCCCTTTTTGCGGATTCCCATAGTCACGTTCAAACCGTGGATTCCAAACGTCGGGCTTTAATCACCAAAACTTTCCTTACTTTCCAAACTCAAAAACTTGCAAGCCGAAATTGAAAAAATACGTACACTCCTAAACCTCGAACCGTATATGCTAGGCTCCAAAGCCTAGATCCTGATGCCTAATTTTCCCAAAGCGCAATACACCGCCCCCCCCCCCCCCCAAACATATAAACCTGGGCCATCCCAAACGCAACCACTAAATCAAAATGCCAACCCTCTCTAATGTAGGGTACTTAATGCTGCTAATGCTTACCTATACTACTTTGGGGGGGTTCCTTCTTATAGTTATAGTTAGAGTATACTTGACCCCCGAACCCCATTCTAGTTACTAAGGCCCCTACACCAAATCCTTATGCTAGCCCTTATAGTAACCCTTCTAGACCCCTTTAAAAGGATACCCTTTAAAGGAACCCTATTCTACGAAGAAGGCACTCATAGCCCTGGACCCCGAGATTCGAAGGGTCCGTTGCCCCCAACTTTCCATCCTTCAAGGCCGCCGATGAGTCTCCCAGCACCCCTATGGAGGACTTAATTACGGTTAAGGCTTAGGGTTCAGGGTTTAAGGTTTAGGGTTTAGGCTTTTAGGGCGGATTTCATGTAGGGACCTTATAATGATAGTTAGAGTAGGGTTTTGGGGTTTCCTTGATATTCCAATCACGGGAAGGAATCCTTCGGAGAGTAGGGTTTTGGGGTTCCTTTATAGTCCAATCATGGTAAGGAACCCTAACCCAGAGGGTCCAAGTACCCAAATAGTAGGGGTATAGGTCCCAAAATCCATACTCGGAGTGGTTTTTGGACCTAGAAAACCTACTATTTGGGTACTTGGACCCTTAGGGTAGTAGGAATAACATTGGTAAGTATTTCGGCTTCCATAGTACGCCGACACAGGTTATGGCGGTGTTGGGTCTGAGATGGAAGTGCTAGAATGTTCAGGGATGGGTTTAGATTTTGTGGTTAAGGGCTTGATATATGATATCAGGATTTGCGAATTCTGTGCGGGATTGGTGAAGCATATTGGGCAGATAGAAACCAAGACTGCGTGCAGCTGCTGCTAAACGTTGAGGCAGGTCTTCGCGGTGACCTCCTAGTTGGCTTGTGGCAGATTGGCTTCACAAGACTATGATTTTGTCTTCGGCCGTCAGCTTCTTACAATCCCTCGTGCCGTTTTGCCTCCCATCGGTTTGCGGCGGCAGAAGGCACGCCATATGCAAACCAATTAAGTGGGGGTGCGAGCTCAAAGCTCAACCCATGCGACTTGCCTATGTCTTACTGGGCTGTGGGCATCTACACAAATGCCGCGGGGCCCTCAAAGCGCTGTCGGAATTGGCCTTGGAGCGCCTTGGCATCCACATTTCAGGGTGCCCCTGCTCACCGGCTTGTGCCGCTGTCGCACCGACCAACCCACCAACCCACCAGCCAACCAGCCAACCAGAAGAAGGCCACAAGGTTTGTCTCCTTAAGCCGTACATGGGAGTTTCCAAAAATTAGGGGCGCCTTATTTTGGGGTCCTTACAATAAGGATCCTACTATTTAGGGTACTATATTAGGGTCCCCTACTTTCGGACATTCTCATATCCTAAACCCCTGACCCCCAAAACCTCAGCCCCGAAGCCCCAAACCCGAAGCCCTTCTCTTGCCCTAAGCACAAACCCGAAACCCCTGAACCCTAAAGAAAAGAAGGAGGATACCATAAAGGAGCCCTTAAAGGAATCCCTATAGATCCCTGATAGGTACGTCGGGTTTATCTAGGATTCCTAAACCCCACAAGGACACCATGAAGGAGCCCTTAACGGGAACCCGAGACGATTCCTTAAAGGAACCCCTCAAAGATCCCTTAAAAGAATACCTTTGGCTTGATAGGTACTCACCTGAACCTACCGAACGCTACGTTTTGGTCATAAACCCGAATATATTGATTTATAGGGACCCTACCCCAAAAAAGGTTTTGGTAGGTTAAGGTAGGGTGTACCTAGGACCCTGTTAAGGAGGGAGGACGCCATAAAGAACGTCGGGTTTACCTATATAGGACCCGATTAAAGAAGGAGGACACCGGCTCGCCCCTCAGCAACGCGGGGCTGGTGGACCTTCTTCAGACCATGAGCAGCTCACCGGCAGTTTGAAGACCTTGCTTGCAGGGTTTAGCGTGCATCTGGGATTTGAGGGATGAGGGTGTAGCTAGCTGGGGCTTAGCGTTTTAGGCTTTGGGGTTTTATGGTTTAGAGTTTTGGGGTTTAGGGTTTGGGATTAGAATTTAGGGTTGGGGTTTTCGGGTTTTGGGTGTGGGGTTCAGAGCTCTAGGATTCTGCTTAGAGTTTACGGTCTTGGGGTTTTGCCGCACCACCGGGTCCACAAAGCCTGGCGGCTGCACCCTATGGGCAGAGCTGAGGCTCCTACGGTTGATGATATAAATCCTGCATTACCCAGAGTAAGGAATATGAATATATATATATATATATATATATATAGATATATAATATGTATATATATAGGAATTATGGTACATTCCTTATTATGGGTCATGCAGGATTTATATCATCAACAGTAGAGCTCAGCTAGCCTGCACCCTACAGCCTAAAGCCCGAAAGCTCTAAACCCAAGCCCTGAGCTCTAAGCGTATCCTTACATACCTATAGTCTCCATTGTAGTTCCTTTTTGGGGTTACTTTTCGGGATCCTTAATATAAAACTGGTTAAACCAAAAAAAGGAACTACTACAATGGAGACTATACATAGTTGGTGCTTACCGGCAAAACCCTATGACTGGTCCTGCTTTACAAACTTGCTTAAGCTCTATAAGCCCCATGGCGCTGGGACAATATGGGCAATCAAACATGTATCAACATAGTTAGTTGTAGTACTGTAGTACTGTAATGATGTAGAAACCTGATTAAGAAACCCTGGGCCTACAACCCCAAAACAGTATAGGATTCATATAAGGAACCCTAATGAAGGCCCAAGCTTTCTTAATCAGGTTCCTACATTAAGCCCTAAGCGGCTTGGTGTAGGGATCGTAGAGCTTTCAAAAAGGATTGTGCTTACAAGTCGCAAGCGGCATTTTAGATGATCTCAGAGCCTACCTCAGGTAAGTTTGGGTGATACCCTACCATTACCCTTAACCCTAAACCCTGAGCACCTAAACCGCTAGACCCTAAACCCTAAACCCCAAACCTACCTCAGGTAAGTATGGTGATACCCTACATTACCCTTAACCCTAAACCCCGAGCCCCTAATCCGCTAGACCCTAAACCCCAAACCTCCCTCAGGCAAGTTTGGTGATACCCGGCTTCCTTCCACGACCTGGGACTTTGATTGCAGGCGCCGTTTTTGCTAGCCACCTTAGGGACCCAAAAAGCACATAATCATTAATAAGCATTCTATGGGGATATCCCTACCTTTAGTTGGCTTTATTATAAGTGGGATTTATATGGGATATCCCTACCCTAATTTTTGCTTACGTGCTTTTTTGGGGCCCTACCACCAGCTCAGGGGGCATTCCCCCGGCTTTAAGGGAGCCCAAAAGCATACCTGGACCTGGGCCCTGAAAACCCTGCACTTTTTAAGGACCTTATGTAGGGAAGCCATTCTATGGAAGCCTAAAAGGGTCTAGGTAAACCTCCAAGCCTCAAACTCCTTGGCCGGTTTAAGTTTGTCCGGTTGGGGCTTCCGGACTGAAGGTGTTTACGGTCGTGGGCTGATCCCATGCTAGGGGTTTATAGGGTTTAGGGAGAAGGGAGAAGGGTGCCCTACATCCAAGGCCCTTGAGTCAGCAAGGAAGTTGAGTAAATGAATACTGGATCCCCCAGGCTCCTCTAAAGCTTCATGGAGATGCCCCATCGGTCCTTTTTCTATGTCTATAATCTATAAGAGAACGGCGGTTTAGGGTTTAGGGCTTATAGCGTTTAGGGCTTACTTAGTTACTTGCAGCATGTTGCTGTCTGCAGAGACTCCAGACCCCTTTCTAAGCAGTATAACAGTAAGACATTAAGTAGTTTAACATGATCGCGTGGGTTCTCGCTAAGGAGTTGAACTTAAGTTACTATAGTAGGGATCGAAAGGTAAAGTAAGTATCCTGGTTTCTTTATGTATTTTGCTTACACTAAGGGTCCTAACACTTTCGGGAACCTCAAGATGCAGGATTCCTGAAGCCCCAACGAGACCCAAGGGCTCTCCATAGGAGATTCCGGACCCTCCTGAGGAGATACCTGCACCCTTAGGGTAATTAATGAGAGGGTGGGTGGCTTTGGGCCAGGCGGAGAGGTCTTCTGACCACGCCTATGGTAGCGTCCCCGACTGCCGCGCCGACACCGCCGCGAGGCTCCGGCTGTTGGGGCCTTAACAAGGGATGTTATTCAGGGTTTGGGATGTTATTCTATAGGGTTCAGGGTTTAGGGTTTATTCTATAGGGTTCAGGGTTTAGGGTTTACTCTATAGGGTTTAGGGTGTACTCTATGGGGTTAGGGTTTAGGCTCCATATGCCCATATGGTATGTACTGTGGTATAACACGGAGCCTTGGGGTTTTTCCTCATAGCACCCGCCCCCCCCCCTGCCCAAAAAGCAAAGCTTATTCAAATGATTAAGCCGCAGGATTGAGGCTGGCTCAAGGTGTGGTGTTTGCTTTTTCTGGGTGTGCAGGCCTTGGCAAAACGCTGCATGTGATTCAAGCTTTCGGTTTGGCGTTTATGTTTCGATGCTTGGGTTTCCCCCCAGAGTTTCAGGTTTAGGGGTTCGCGTTCGCGGTAAGGGTCCTTTAGTGGATAGAGGTATCCCACCTCCTTCTACAGCGAACCCCAGAGGCTTGAACATCGATCTTGGCAATGATTAGTGTTCCTAGAGGGTCCAAGTACAGTACCCAAATAGTAGGGTTTTAGGTTTCCAAATCCCTACTCTGCATGGTTTTTGGACCTTGAAACCCTACTATTTGGGTATTTGGGCCCTTAGAATGCTGGGATGCCAGGTGCGAGGCCTGCATAAGCCTCGAACAGCAGCTCTAAGCCCACAAGGAAAACCCAATACCCTGCATCGCCAAACCTGGCTTACACTATGGGCACCCGATGTTTAGAACCCTAACAGGAACTCTAAACCCACAGCCCAGCTTGTTTCGTACAGAATCGTAAAGAGAGCCCTAAACCTAGTCTAGCTCATTTTATGTAACAGAGCCAGTACAGAACCCTGGAAGGAACTTTAAGCCCAGATGCCTCGTATCCATGTGGGCTGAAAAGCCCGGGCTCTTGTCAGGTGCCGAGGGCCTCTTCCAGGGCTGCAGAGACCTGGAGCAGCGCCTTGCTGACAGTTCAAGATTTAAGGAGTAGTGCTCAGGGTATAGCTAGAGTCTCTTTGTGTTCATATAAAACCAACGAGAATATTAAAAACAAAAATAGAAGTCTTATGGTTCTCATGGGGGTATAGATAGGGTTTCGGTCTCTTTTGGGGTTCAGGGTTTACGGTTTAGGGTAGGGTATAGCGTTTCGGGTCTCTTTTGGGGTGAAGGGTAAAGGGTTTAGGCTTGAGCCCTGAGGGCTCCAAGGGTCCCGCAGAGTTTGATTTTTTTTTACGAGGGGGGGGTGTAGGGCTCAGGGTTTAGGGTTTAGGGTTTAGGGTTTAGGGTTTGGGGTGGGGTGTAGGGCCAGTGTAGGGTTAACTTTAGGGTTTCAGGGTCCTGTACCGAGACCTCATGATGTTAGCTGCCTGGCTGATTGCTTAAACCAAATCGAAACGGGAGCCGAGTTCGAGGGATGTTGACACCAACACCTAGCTAGACATGAGTACCTTGAAAGACGGCATATCTTGTACGAGACATGGTTCATGGTGCTGTCCGTGGCATGGAGGCTGAATAGTAGTCGTGGCAGCGTTAGTTACTAGCGTCGCCAGCGGTAGTGGTAGAGGTGGCAGTAAACCCTAAACCTTTCTAAGCCCCCGAAACCCCCAAAACCTACTAACCTCAAACCCTGCCCAAAACCCTTAACCCTCTAAACCCACAAGAAAAACCTGCTAAATCTCCTAAACCCTCTAAACCCCAAAACTCCTAACCCCTTAGCCAGTAACCCCTAAAACGGTTTAGCGTTTAGGGTTTACCTTAACCCCAAATGACCTACCTTTTCAAGGACTTATATAAAGAAATCATATGGGTGGTTGTCAAAATTGGGGTCTCCCTTTTTGGGTATCCTCAATACAAGGTGCCGTAGGTTGTTTGGGGTTTCGGGCCCCTGCAAACTCCCCAATAGGTAGTATTATTAGGGAGACCCCCTCAAAGGGTACCCCTTCTGAACCCTGCTTCTGGCTCTCTTAAAAGGGGCCTTATTGAGACAGTCAATATCCCCAAACCTCCCCCTAATCCTAACTCCCACCCAAGGCGCCTGCCGAACTTGGCCTTCGGTCAGCTACCCGCGCTCACCTCGAAGCCTTTGCAGTCCTTGGACTTGGCGCGTCAGGGCCCCAGGCTTTGGGGTTAAAGGGTTTAGGGGTTTAGGTAAAGTTTAGGGTTATAGGGTTTAGGTTTCAGGGTCAAGGGGTTGAGGGTAATTATAGGAGTTAGGGTTATAGGGTTTAGGTTTCAGGGTCAAGGGGTTGAGGGTAATTATAGGAGTTAGGGTTATAGGGTTTAGGTTTCAGGGTCAAGGGGTTGAGGGTAATTATAGGAGTTAGGGTTATAGGGTTTAGGGTTTAGGGTCAAGGTGTTGAGGGTAATTATAGGAGTTAGGGTTATAGGGTTTAGGGTTTAGGGTCAAGGTGTTGAGGGTAATTATAGGAGTTAGGGTTATAGGGTTTAGGGTTTAGGGTCAAGGGGTTGAGGGTGTAGGAGCTTGGGTTGTAGGGTTTCGGGGTCTAGGGGTTTAGGGTGAAGGGGTTTAGGGTTGTAGGGCCCTAGCTGCTGGAGGGGGTACGGTTTGAGACCTGGGGTATAGGCTTTTGAGGGTTTTCGGGCTACTGATTTAGGCTAGTCCAGGATATAGTGCTCAGGGATTTCGAGTTTATGATTTTGACGGTGTAGGGTTTCGAGTCGAGGGTTATTTAAAGGATAAGAGGTCGATATTTTGAAAAGCCCTGTCTGAATCCACATGGGCTTCGTCAGCTCCATGATTCCCGGGTATAGGCTAAAGGGCGGTAGGTTTCGGGGCTTTGGCCTTAGGTGTCACAGCTTGTAAAGGTCCAGGAGTTGAAGGTGCTCTGCGGGGGCTTGTGCGGTTTGGGTTTAGGGCTTAGGGTTAAGGGTGTGGGGGTTTAGGGTTTACCAGAATACTAAACCCTAAACCCCGATAAGCCCAAAACCTTAAACATCCTAAACTCGACGACCACAAAATGCGGAAAAATGTGGCTGTGGCCCAAGGGCTTATCACCACATCTTCGGAGAAGTTGGGGGCCGACAAGGAGCCCCGGGGTTTTGCTGAGGCTTTAGAATTTAGCATTCCTTAGATAGTGAACGGTGGGACTTTAAACTTGGCCTGATATATATATATATATATATATATATATATATATATTAGCCCGATCTTAGAAAGTCTGATTTTTTGGGGCCCGGTTGTTGAAGAAGAGAGATCCAGGGTTTATTTCGGATTTAGGGTTTACTTAGGATGTAGGGTTTATAGGGTTTGGGACGCAGGGTTTAGGAATCAAGATGCAGGGCTCTGGGTTTCGCATCTCGGATGTGGTGGAAGGTGTAGATCTCAGGGTTAATTTAGGGTGTAGGGTTTAGGGTTTAGGCTGTAGGGAGGACGTTCTGAGTGTATTCGCTGTTGCTGGTTTGATTGGCGGTACTGTTGATGTGGAGAGTTGCAGAGGGCATTGGCGCGGCTTGGTTTGAGAAGGAGTTTAGCGGCTTAAGATGTTCGGGTCTGCGTTTTCGGAAGTGACACATTGTGATCTAGGGGCTCGGTCCGGGGGAGAATTGCCGGTTGAGGCTTTGCGCTACTGGGCTTTTGGAATTGACCCTCTAAGGTCCAGAACCCTTCCCTGGCGGGTTCATAAAAAAATCACAGGAAAGCTGTAAACCAATCAGCCGCCGTGCTGCCGAAGACCCTACTTGAAGGATCATGGGACTTAGTAACATAGGGTTATAAATATAAGGTAACTATACTTATAAGTACTTATAACCCCAATTAGGGTACTCATAACCTTACTTACTATATAAGTCCCATGATCCTCTAAGTATCATAAGCCCTACCTTGGTTTTTTCCTTACTGTTGTCAGGATTCAATCTTGCTGCTAGTGACTGCTGGTGTTCTCATAAAAGAAGCCTCGTCACGGGCCAGCAGCTGTGCAGATCACGGTACCCAGAGACTCCAATACCCCTTAATTAAGGAATATACCTTAAATTATAGTAGGATCCCTTATATGATTTAAGGAAGAATCCTTAATTAAGGGATATTGGAGTCTCTGGGTAACTTAGGGATCGGCATCATCGGCGGAGGCTTAGGGTTTAGGGTATGGTAGGAACATATAATTTCTTCTAGCGCCAACGATTCAAGGCCCGTTTCTGATTAAGGCCCGAACCCTTACAGCAACACCTATAGTAACTGTTTCAGGCGATATGAACCCTGAACGAAAAACACCAAACCCCTAAACCCGAGCCCTAACCCAAAACACCGCCAAACCTGAACCCTAAACACTAATGAAAACTCTGACCCGAAATGCCAAACCCCAAAACCTAAACCCTAAACCATATTTAAACGCTTTAAACCGAAAATGCCAAAACCCCAAACTTAAACGCTAAACCGAAAATACCAAACCACAAAGCCTAAACCCTAAACTCCTTAAACCAGAATCAAAGCCCTAAACTCCCTAATCGCCTTAAACTATATTTAAGCTCTAAGCGGAAAATCCAAACCCCAAAACCTAAACCCGAATGCAAGGACGTGGCTTCGATTCGGGGCCTCGCCTTGGATCAGGGGCCCGCTGGGCGCACGGTGGCTGGCAAGGCTGGGGTGGGCTTTGGGGTTCAGGGATTACCACAAGGGCCCAAAGGACCCTGTAATCTGGTACTCAGGTTTAGGACAGTAGGTATGCAGGTTACTGTTTTGGAGAGTATATGATTGATAATTAGGTACTTGGACCCTTAGGGTTAGGGTTTAGGGTGTAGGGTTTGGGCTTTGGGGTTCAGGGGTAATGTAGCAACCTGATTCAGAAACCCTGGGCCTATGACCCCAAAACAGTAGGATTCCAGGCTCCTACGTTAAGGGTTTAGCTCTTAGGGTTTAGGGATTACGGGTTCAGTGTTTAGGGTTTATCCCGGATTCCCCGGATCCTGGCTTCAGAGTTTAGGTTTTAGGGTTTAGGAAAAATACAGTAATCAGGTCATGAAGGTTTAGGGTTTGGGGTATCGAGTTTGGGCTTTCGGGTTTGGGGTTGAGGGTTTAGGGTTTAGGGCCGTTTGGGGTTTGGGGGTTGGGTTTGAGGGTCTGCAATTTACGGTTAGATGGTTTAGGGGTTTAGGGCTCAAAAAAATTAGAGGTGCCTTATGTATGGGGGTCGTTGTTTTAGTTTTGCGCATCCTGGTATCTCGGGTTCTATACCAGGTATGTTGGCTGTTTGGGATTCTCTTCAGCTCATTTTCGGGCTTTAGACGTTAGATTTGACTGGGGGCTTGGGACTATGTGCAGCTATTTTTGTAATACGGTTTAGGACTTTAGGGTTCTCTCGGATTGAGAGGTTATGGCACAAGCTTTTCGGTTCTTTGGGTCAAGGACTTGAAAGTGTAGCTGAGAGCTGCTTAGGGTTTAGGCTTGCCGGTGTTTTGGTTCCAATCCCTAAATCCTAAACTTGCGGTTTACACAAGCCCCCCAAAAGATTGCCCTAAACCCTAAACCCTAAACCGTCTGCGCTGAGTCAACCGCCAGGTGCTGTTGAAACGCCTGGAGGCCGAAATGATGTGAAGATGGGGGTAGTGTGGGCCGCTTAGGGAGTAAAGCCTCTTGTCGGGTCTTAGAGAATTGTGCGTTTTGGAGTGCAGGGCCTTCGAGTTTGAGGATTGAGAAATTTGGGCTTCAAAGTTCTAGCCTTGCGATGGGAGCTGTTGTGGAGGTATTTTGTTTTATGTCGATTTGTCAGCTGTACATGTCTACGTATGTGTTTACATACATATATACATACATGCATGCATGCATGCATTCATGCATATTGAACACACACACATATACATACTACATATATATATATATATGTGAACTTTTCAGTGCACCCAAAAGTACGATAGTGGAGTAACCTAGCAACAGCCAAACCCCTGTGCCTAGCCAGCATCGTACACTCTGGATCCGACTGTTCGGCCGGCTCTTCCATCAAATGCAGTACCGCGAAGCCCGAAACCCTGAGCACCCAAACCCTTGCCCAGACCCTGATTTGGGGCTCTATACTACTAAGAGTACTTATAGGGACCCTCTGGGTGAACCCTAACCCAAGAATTGAAGCCTGCTATATGGCGAACTCACCGTGAACCGACGCTTGTCCTCGAGCCGTAGAAGCCTCATAGCTATACCTTGGGGACCAAATGACCCTTATAAGTAGGGGCCCTGTACCCTTATGCTATGATTCCTATACAGTATATGAACCTTAAACCCTTTTGAGGTTCATTTCGTCCTTAAGGTACGCCCTGAGGTTGATGCGAAAGCTTTAAGGCCCTCAGCTCCTGAGCCGTAAGTCCTCGAGCTTAAACTTTGAAGGGTATCTAATGATGTCCATTTTAGGGCTTAGGGCTTATAGGGCTCAAATATTGAGCCCCCCAACCAAGCTTGGGTCCCTCTGATTCTACCATCAACATTGAAAGGCGGACTTCAAGTACTATGCAGGGCTGGAGGATCCAACCGCAGAAAAGCCAAGGGTTTAGGGTGTATATATGGTTTCTGCGAGTTTAGAGGTTAGGGCTTGCGGCTCTCAGTGTCTACTGTAAGCGTTCATAGCTTTTGACTTCGAGTTTTGTGGGTACCGGATCGTTGCTGCTAGCTGTTACTGTTAGCTTCTTTGGCCAAGTGGTGGTTCAGGAGGGGTTGTTATAGTATCCTTATGAGGGGGGCCTCCAAGGGGGGGTAGATAACCTACTAATCCCTAGTTCTCCCTAAGGTTCCCTTGAGGTTCCCTTTAGGATCCCTCGTACCTTCCCCCCTTGAACCACCCTCCCTTAAGGACCCTACAAGGTTGGGATTGTGTAGACATTGGGAGGGTGGAGGATCTTCGTCTCGCCTTCTTTTGGGGTCCTATAGGGCCTTCAAACCTTCAGGCTTTACGACTTCAGTTTCAGGTCTTTGGTATGTCAATTTCAGGGTTTTAGGATTTCAGGGTTTTGGGATTTCAGGGTTTTGGGATTTCAGTTGGGTTTTTAGGGCTTACTTCAGGGTTTGGGGATTTCAGGTTCTGGGATTTTTAGGGCTTAGGGCTCGGTCAAGGGAAGGGGGGGGGGCCTTAGGGCGTATGGACTCCGCGTCCGGTATTGAGATCCCAAAGGTTCCTAAGTCAGACCCCCCGGAGGATCCAAACACTAGATCCTTAATGGGGGGAGGGTTCCTATAAAGTACCCTTAGTAGTATTGTATAGGGCCCCAAATTAGGGGATCTACTGTCCAGATCTCCCGGGGGTCTGGGAAGTACCTAAATTGTAGAAGAGGGTCGATGTATCAGGAATCAATTACATGATTTGGGGAAGTTTTGGATGTGGGTGTTGGAGCTCAGGGTAGTACAGAAGCTGAAGTCATGTCGTGTGAAACATGCTATAACAGCAAGAGCAAGAAGAAGTAGGTCGATGTAGTCCCTGTACACGATAAGCATCCTAGTAGTAGAGTGGGTAACCTTTAACCTTTTTGGGGTAGTATAGTCCCTATAAAATCCCTATATAACCAAAAAGGTTAACCTTTAGTTCCCCATGATACCCGACAAGCAGGGCATGTGCTAAAACCCGACTTAGGCTCAGGATGAGGTGTTTAGACCTTATGATTTAGAGGTTTCATAATGTACAGTTCAGCCGTTCTTTGGGTTTAGGTGCTGCCTACGGGAACACACCTAACACTTTGGCATTTGAGGCAGAAGGTAGTGCGGTTGTCATTGGTCGCTGGTTGACATAGCGGATGGTTAGGCAGTACTTGGACCCAAGTGTTCCCTTTTTGGCTAACAAGGTTAATCACATGACTAGAAACCTCAGCATCAAGCATCACTGGAGGGACTGAGTATACGCATGAAGCCTGTAGGCCCTTTACAAGACCATACGATGCCCGAAACCCTAAACCTAAATAAACGGCCCAACCTCTTAATCAAGGACTATACCTGAAATTAGGTATCCCTCATATGGTTTAAGGTATAGGGATGTTGGAAGGTTTGGAGTTTTTGAGGGAATCTGCACAGGAGTCTTCATTCTGGAACATCACGCCGTCGACGGTGACGAGCCTCCTTCAGGAGGGCTGGCTGGCGGCAACCTAAGGCAATCGCCCATAAACCCTAAGACCTGAACCCTAAACCGTATGCCCCGGAACCATCAACCCTAAATCCATAGCCCCCGAGCCCCCAAACCCCCACCCCTAAGCCCTGAAACCCAAGACTTAAACCTCCAAACCCTAAGCCCCACGATCTCAAGTAACGTAGGGCCAGTAAATCGCAAACCCTTAGGCCCTGAGAACCCTAACAAAATTCAACGCAACTCGGCGCTAACCCTAAACCCATAAACCTCAGAAACTCTGAACTTAAGGCCAACAGCTCGACAATAACCCCCAAACCCTAAAAGGTCATACCATATCCCATTTGTTAGGGTATCTACTGTTCTACATAACAGATCCTTGCGGTACCCAAAAAACGGGGATAGGGAATGCCCTGCTGGGTAAACCCTACATGCTCCTAAAGCCCGAAACCCTAATCCCTGAACCCTAATCCTAAACCCCTAAACCCTAATCCCTGAACCCTAACCCCTCATCCCTAAACCCAAAATGCCTAAACCCTAACCCCTAATCCCTAATACCCTACAACCCCTAAACCCTCTAACCCCTAAACCTTTATCCCTGGAGGATAAAGAGCAGCTTGCGGAGCTTCTGGCGGAGTTGGAGCGCCTTCAGACCGTTCTGAGAAACATGGCAGCTCGGTGAGGTTTCCTGGGCTTCTTTTTAAGGTTTGGGGCTCAGGGCTTTAGGGGTTTATAAGGGTGTTATAAGGGGTTTTGAGATTTTAGTGGCTTTAGGGGTTTAGGGTGTTAGGGGTTTACAGGAGTGTAAGGTATATAGGATTCTCACTTCTTGGATGTACTGTTGGCTTCAGGGATGGGAATTGCCACTCGTTCTTGGCGCTAGTGTTTCCGTCACTTACCTTTGGTTAGTAGGGAATGGAAGAATGGGGTACACTTATAAATACTATTACTGCCATTCTTCCATTCCCTACTAACCGAAGGTAAGGTCAAGCCCAAGCAAAGTCTTTTGGTAAATCGTAGAGGGACCCAACCCCCCTGAACCCCTGGAGTCCCCTGAACCCTAAACCCAGAAGCCAAACTACTCCCGAAACCACTAAACATTTTGGGGAAACATATTTTTCCCCTCAACATATTAAGGGGAAAAATATTTTTTCCCCAATATGTTTAGTGCCAACCTCAAGGCTACGAGTCTTTACTTTGGTGGTGTGCGTTTCAGCGTTTGGGTATTGGTTGTAGGTTTGATGGAGTTCGGGGTTTCAGGGACAAGGGGTCCGGGTTTAGGTTGAAGTCTAGTTTGATGGCTTTAGGGATTTGGGCTTAGGGTCTAGTTTCATGGCTTTGGGGGTTAGGGATGCAGCTAGGGTTCAGAGTTCAGTCCAGTGCTGGAGGCTTTGAGGCACTCGCAATGACTACTTGGAGGTTCAGTAGTTATTAGTGGGGTTATAAGTCCCCTAACATGGGTTATAAGTATAGTTACCCAACTTATAACCCTACTTATAGCTACCCATGAACCTCCAAGTAGGATGCCCAGTAGTACCCTTATTCCCTTTTTGTAGTCCTAGGTTCCATATAAGGTTACCCAATACCAGGCTACCAAAATGGGAGCCCTTATTATTCCTGGGTTACTGGGCATCCTGAAGGAGGGTTTTGTGGAGGCGTTGTACCAGTCTCGCAGGACCATGCTGTGTATTGAGCCCCCCGACATAGGACTTAGGGTTGATATTCGAGGGTTTGGCCTAGCCCGAAACTCTGTCAACCCTATCCTAGCCCCTAAACTCTCGACCGCAGCTTTTGAACCCTGTAAATCCTTTAGGGCATGTGCCTGCAGGCACGATCTGACACAGATGCTATGTGCCTTGGCCAGTCCGATGTCGTTCTCACTCAGAATTTAGGGTTAAGGCACGAGTTCAGGGCTGTCACAATCCAAACTCACAATCATAAATTACTAGGACCCAGAGTAGGCCCGTATTCCCTTTGTTAGGGTTTAGGTTCCCTTCTGATCCCCTTTAAACCAAAAAAGGTTATTCTTAGGTCTAGATTATCATCGGAAGCACATCAGAACCCCTGTTGCTGCTCTGGAGTTGCTGATTTTGGTCCAGGGTTGGTAAGCCCAGACCTACCAACAGCCCGACCCTCTCCACCTAGCATACCCATGTTTACCGGAACTAGCCGTAGCATAACCTTAAAGAAGCTATTTGGCAACAGTTCTTTGGTCTCAAAGATGACGGGGTTTAGGATCTGGGGCTTTGAGGTGCAGGTGCTCTGTGCAACCGAATCTCAAGGAGGATGCCCGACCGAAATCTGGAGCACAAACCATCTAGCTTCTAACGATTTAGACCTTCAGAGGCCGACTTTCAGAAATGCTCTGGCACCCGACGCCCTACAGTAGAAGCCAGAAAGTTGGAATATCATTATCGTAACCCCTTTAAGGTAAATTATAGGGGATCCTACCATTAATCCATATTCCAACTTTCTGGAGTTCCCTGTAAACCTTTATAAAGCAGAGACAGAGCGCTAGACCGACAGAGAGAGGGACGGAGATACGGAGAGGCGGCGAGAGTGAAATCGACGGAGGTATGAAGCCATGGCAACCGCCAAGAGTTTGGCCAACACTGTCCGGGGCCAGGAGGGCCGCTTGACAGAAGACAGTGCGATTTTGGCTAAGTGTAGCTGCCTATCTCGTTCTGTTTTAGTTGTGTTTCTGTCTGTCTCTCTCCCTCTCTCTCTCTCTCTCTCTCTCTCTCTCTCTCTCTCTCTCTCTCTCTCTCTCTCTCTCTCTCTCTCTCTCTCTCTCTCTCTCTCTCTCTCTCTCTCTCTCTCTCTCTCTCTGTTTCTCTCCATTCTCGATCTTTCGGCCGTGCTTTTGATTTTGCTCAAAGCAGCCTGAGCCGCTTTGTATAACCCTCACTACTCACACCGCAGACACGTACCCAGAGACTCCAATATCCCTTAATTAAGGAATATACCTTAAACCATATAAGGGATCCTAACCCTCAGGGTCCAAGTACCCAAATAGTAGGGTTTCTAGGTCCAAAAACCATTCAGAGTATGGATTTGGGGACCTAAAACCCTATACTATTTGGGTACTTGGACCCTCTGGGCAACCCATAAATGCGTGGGCACGCCCAGGAGCGGCGATACGTCTTGCGCGCTTGGTGGGCGCTGCTCCCACACTGAGCTTTCAGGACTGCATCGCTTTGTCTTACAATCGAGTTTTCCAAAGAAAATCCCACGCTACGTTTTCGGTTTTTTTGAGTTGTTCTAGAATCGGGTTTTCTGTGAAAGGTTTGCCTTAACAGCGAGAGCGTGACTGCTTTCGGATTCGAGGTCAGGGCTTACCCTTCCAAGTTTAAAGCGGTGGTACATCCGCAGCCCGCGCTTCGCGGAGTCAGTCTTTCAGCCCTGAACGGTGTGAGGTTTGGAGTTTGGGGTATCGGACTCGATTAGCTCGTGAGGATTTTGATCATCGTTTGGCATTCCCGAAGGGCCGTAAGTACCTACATAGTGGAATGTAGGGTTTCTATATTCGGAGCTGCTTGTATGGTTTGGGGAAGTATCCCCCTTAACAGTACCTAGGAATCTTTATAGTTAGGCATGCCGAAAAGGGAGCCCTCACCGTGCTACTCTTCGGACTCTATCGGAACCCACCGCACCAAAAAAAGTGGCAGCCCCCCACGTCAGCCCGACGCGCCCTAGGTTCTTCAAACCTAACCCCGGTCCTAAACCCTAAACCCTAAACCCTAAACCCTAAACCCTAAACCCTAAACCCTAAACCCTAACCCCGAACCCCAACATCCCCTACACCCTCGAAGCCTCTTGACCCTGATAGCCTCTCAGCATCCCTTAACTATAGTCTCCTTAGGAATTATTTTGATTATTTTTGTTCATATAAAACCGAAGAGAATATCAAAGATACAATTTCTGTTCTGGTTCTAAGGGGGGTATAGTTAAACCGTGCCAGATCAGGACATTCTCCAAGTTCTTCTCGTTCGTGGCGGCACGGAGTTGTTGTTGCCCCATCTGTGTCCCATGCTCACGGCTGCTCGGCTGCTTAGGAGAACGTGGGAGTTCCCGAAAATTAGGCGGTACCTTATTTGGGGGTCCTGATAATATGGATCCTACTCTTTAGGGTACTATATTAGGATCCCCTATATTCGGAAACTCCCACATGATTCCCAAAAGGCATGCACGTAATAGAACGCATCGGAATCGGAATTTGTGGCATGCGATGCTTGAGCATGGGCTTCAAGAGCCCTTATGGGACCATGCGTTGACTGATTATTCAGACCTCCACAACACTTGCAGGATGGGTCTACCATCACCTACTACTTAAGTACCAGCTACCAGAACCCAGTAATTGTGAGAGCCCCTTTTCAACTAAGCATCACGGTTCACGCCAACATCCTGCCACACAGTTGGTCTTGGCAGGTAAAAGTGAGATTTCATACGCAGTTTCGCGTATTTCTTCACTTAGAAGTCAAGTAGGTTGCAATATATAATTCCGGCCCATCCGAGCGCATGTCATTATCTGGCTTCCTTGTCGGTAAGTTCCGCGACTGATCTTCGAGCCACCGCCCCGAAACCCTAAACGTAAGCTCACACCTAGCCTCAATCCTAAGCCCTAAGTCTTGATTGAACCCTAGCTTCGAGGCCGTTCAATCTGATAAGTCCTACTTTGCAACAGGAAGGCCTTGAAGCTGCAGAGATCAAGAAAGGATTAAGCTTCGGCCCTGTTTCAGGAAGCACTGCAGTGACTCTATAGCTACTTGGGATAGTTGTTGGGTTGTTTCAGATACACTGACCAGTGGTAGCATGTCTCACTCAGTAGCTGAGTGGATACACTTTACGCTTTTCAGATATTTTTACCCACTATAAAACTAAAAGTGTACACTTTTGGGGGGGCTTATGAACTCAGCAACCAGGCTGAAGTATGACTTCACCATGATTCTGGCACTTGAGGAACCCTAAATGGGACCCGAAACTCGACAACGAGTGCCAACCACACGACGCAGAACGGTGACCACAGACTCCAGTGTCCTTGTAATTAAGGAAATTCCTTTTGGGAAATTCCCTCGGAACTCCTAAACCCTAAACCCTAAACCCTAAACCCTAAACCCTATCCCTCGGAACTTCAGAAAGGAATAGGGCTCTAGCTCGCCGAGGGGGAGGATATCCGTGATTTGGCAGCAGCTGCGGTGCTGGCACTCCTCTTGAGCTCACGCGCTGCTTGGCTGAAAAAGAGCTTGTGTTTGGGCCCTACCGAGCCGTAAGTGTCCATGTGCCCAATAGTATAGAGTATTTGGGTACACGGACCCTTAGGGCGAGTGTGCAGGGGGCAAGTCCTGTGTCTTTGGAGCATTTTGGAGAGTGCTTGGTGTTACCGTTTGCGTGGCAGTTGAAAGTGCTTGCATTCCGGGCTGCAGTGTTTATGCGTATCACGCGTCAAACCGAGAAGCCTTAGAAGCCGACATACACGTGAGCTTGTGAATGTTTCCCTGAATGATTGGATGCGGCTTGAGAAATTTTGCATGCAGCTCACGAAGTAGCAGGCGGAAAGTTACCCTCAGGGATAACTATCATATACTCTCCAAAATAGTAACCTACTATCCTAAACCCGAGTACCTAATTATTGGGTCCTTGGGACCCCTAGGTAAAGCGGAGGGAGGCCTCATGGATCGACCCGGGCATAGTCATCAGATTCCACAGTTCCAGGTTTCAAGTTTCACCCAAGCGCCACGCCCCTGCATGAGCCTCAAAAGCCCGACATAAGATCAGGGAGTCCTTAAAGCGGTAGGCTATTTAGGTGTTTCCAAAAATAGGGGATGCAAATATAGTACCCTAAATGGTAGGATCCTTATTGCTAGGACCCCATATTAATTAAGGTACCCCTAATTTTCGGAAACTCCCATTTGGGGTTAAGGTAAGCCCCAAAGCATTCCTTGGAGGCACTCCTTTGCCGACGCGCGTTGGCTGCGCTGGGAGCGCTGAAGGCCCTGGTTGAACGAGCAAAGACGCCTGCCTTGCAAGCTGGACTCAATCCCTACTGTAAGGGTCCAAGTAGTCCTTATTTACAGTTCTTGTTACCAAAAACGGTCCAAAAGTCCTATAATATTGAGTACTTGGACGCATAGGGAATACTAGACTTGTCCCTGGGGCTCCAAATAGGCCCAGGCAGGTAGCATTTATAGACTTTAGGCCCCAAAGTAGGTACCGTTTGTATACTTGGAGCCCTAGGGTGCGAACATACACGGCAATGATAACTCCGTCCCTACATACTTCTGATGCGAGTATTTTCTCCATGAACCTGCTCTAACTACTGGGGCCCGGCAATAATTAGAACACGGTTGTGGAGAGGATCTACTGGAGACACTATCCGCGCTGTTGCATCCGGACTATAAGGGAGAGATTCTTGAAGGCCCTTGGGTCAAGGGTTTTCGCATTCAATGCTACCACTACTCCTCCTCCTCCCCCTCCTCCTCCTACGACTACTACTACTACTACTACTACTACTACTACTACTACTACTACTACTACTACTACTACTACCACTCCACCAAGTCCTGTAAAACGATGAGGAGGAAAACGATAACGTCATATCGGATGAGTAGACATACAACGGGGTTGTTTTACAACCCAATTTGGGGTTCAGGCGGATGCAAAACTGCCCAAAAGACCCTCCCACAGCAAGATAGTCTTGCCCAACTGCCTTGATATGCGAGCTTTAGCAGCCTGAAGTTCTGGAAGCAGGGGGTCGAAGTTTCGGGTGCACAGGAGCCAATTTAGAAATGTAAACAAGGCGGAAGAAGCAAGCATAAGATGACTGATGATTGAGGTTGCAATATTAGATGTCCTAAATGCTGTTCGCTCCAGCACCCAGCACCCTCAGCCCTTCAACCAAAAAGCTTTTCGGGAGTGATGAACGACATGATTTGAGTTTAGCTGCTGAGGAAGATGGACTCCAGCCGCGTCAGTGGCAATGCTCGGCGTCAGAGTTGGCATCCTGGCTCTAGATATTGCGGGCCGAACCTTGTTGTGTGATGTCGGCTTAAAGGCTTTGAGCTTCAGCGTTCCCAAAGACATGTATGAAGCGATGTTTGAATTGCTTTGCCATAGGGATTAGAAGGCCTTACCCTATATAAACCAAGCCGAGCAAACCTGTAGATCCAGCCGTATAACTCCCATAAACCTCCGGAAAGTAGGTCCTAAACTTGCAGCATGAACAGACCTATGGAGGCGCTACTGTACCTCCGGAAAGTAGGTCCCAAAATTACCTCAAGGTCTGCTGCTTCTGAGGTGGCGAAGACTCAGCGGCAGGTTTCGCCATGAGGAGGATGACGTGGAGGAGGAGGGCGAAGGTTGCTCAGGGACTTTAGGGTTTAGGGTTTACGGTTTAGGAGGATGGGCAAGGGTTGCTCAGGGACTCCAATAGTCTGAGTAGCTGAGTGGATACACTTTACACTTTTTGGGATAACATTACCCACTAGAAAACTGAAACTGCACACTTTTGGGGGCTTATGAACTCAGCAGCTAAGGTAGTAACAGCCCTCCACGGAACATGCGTAAATCATAATAGGGATCCCTGGATAAGTTGTGGAGAACCCTAAACCGTTTTGGAGTCTCGGTTCTGCTTCGCTTAGGTTTAAATATCGTGCCGCTTCGGCAACACTTAACCCTATCCTCCGAACTCCGCCCTATATGGGAGTTTCCGAAACTCAGGGCCCTAATATAGTAGCCTAAATCGTAGGATCCTTATTATAAGAACCCCAAACTAAGGTATCCCTTGATTTTCGGTAACTCTAAACCCTAAACCCTTTATAGACCTCTTGGAGGAACCCTGATGGATCCCTTTAAAGGTAACCCTAATTTTCGGAAACTCCCATACCAGCCTGAACCCGAAGCCCTAGAACCCCGAAGCTCTCCCTTGGAAACCTTCGAAACAGACGGCTTTGAGGATCCATTACAGTGCCGATGCCTCTGGGGGGTTTTAGGGGTTTAGGGGCTTAGGGTTGAGGGTTTAGGGGAGTTTTGTACCAGTTTTGTGGATCTGGGGTTTCACCTTCGGGACTTACGATCGTTCGAGTTGAATGATTCTTGGTTTACGCACAGTTCTCCCTGCAGTCTAGAAGCCTGTGAAGTTACCAAAAGGTTTTTCATCGGCTTCCTAAATAAGTATGAGTATTTCATAATACACCCTGTAATCATGTTCTGGTCATCCCAGCCCCAAAATTGCTACGGTCGTCAGGGTGTTCGACTGACAAGTTGAGGACATGCGATGTGTGGTCTACAGTTTTGTGCCTCAGAGCTTTTGAACAAGCCGGAAGCGAGTTCGCCGAAGCAAAACCAAGTTCAATGCATCTACTCTCCTTGTCTCGACAGGACGCACGTGGCCCAGAGTTGTGTGATGCCGCGTGCGAGGCACCAGCAGACCCTGCACTGTCGAAACCCGAAACCGCCGAAACCCTGGACCCTAGCCCCCTGTGCCTCCATGGACGTGACCGCAACAGAATCCCCCACAAATGGATCACGCAGTGGGCCCCAGAGTGATGCAGCTAAAGCCGCAGACCTAAAATTATTAAGCCATGTGTCCTCTCCTTTCAAGTCACTCTCTCTAAGCTGTAGACTATGGTTCAGCGGCTCCTCGCGGAGTTTGGGCTTAGGGCTTTGCCATTGCGGGCTCTATGGCTATTGGGTGGATGTTTATCGGCCGTATGGGGCTTAGGATGAAGAGGGTGAAGGCCCTGGAATGCAGGACTTTTGGGGATGAGCCTGCATCGTTCTTTTGTTGCTCGATTGCATCGTGCACGGACAACCCGGACGCCCCGAACTTGAAGCCCTATTGTGGCGCTTTGCGCCTACATATGCACTTGAAGCGGCATGGCCGAATGGCACAATTAGAGACCCACATGCCCCACCACGACAAATCACGCTGGAGCCCTACCCGAGCGAATGCCCTAAAGTCGCTAAGTACGTTGACAGAACCCTATAATTAGAACCCGCATTAAGACTTGTTCAAACCCTTTGAAACCTTCTGAACCCTAAACCTAAACCCCTTTCGACCTTAAATGACCACAAAGAGCAATCCCTGTATGCCGGAGGTCGCCGCGGCCCTCGGTGTGGAAGCGCCCGCAGCCCAGAAATTTAGGGAGTCGAAGTTGCGTACTTATATTATCCTGCATTACCTTAAGGAGATCTAGACTATGGGAATTATGGTATATTCCGTCCTTATTATGGGTAATGCAGGATTCATATTATCAACAGTAGGGCTCTAGGGGTGGTGGGATGAAGGCCTTTATAGGGTCTAGGCAGAAGGGTTTAGGGTTCGGGGCTGGGGATAAGGGTTTACGGTTCGGGGTTTGAAGTTTGGGGATAAGGGTTTTGGGTTGAGGCTCGAGGGTTCAGGGATAAAGTTTCTGGGTGGGGCGGGGGCCCGGGGCCTAAGTGTTTGCATCAAAGTAAGTAGATGGGCTTCTTGGAAAGGGTTCTTCAACCCGGTTCTGAAAGGGAAGTATAGGTTTAGGGGTCAGGGTTGTAAAATATGTTGACATAGATCAATAAGTCCGCTTTTTGATTTTTGAGGGCCTTAGGAATGGGATACAGATTCTAACCCTTTTCGGTATCCCTAGGGGTGTCCCTATGTAACTGGCCCCTACATTCTCTAGGTCCAGGGAGAGCCCTTGGGTGTCGTTGTTGGGGCGTCAGGAATCCTACATTGTGAGGTTCCCCAAATTGTTAGGACCCTTAGGGTTATCACCAAAGCTCATCAGGCACAGCGTAGAGGGGATGACGTACGATCCCCGCTTGGTGCTCTTCGAGTTCGTCGCCGGGCTTGTGCTGCGCAAGAAGCAGGCACGACGGCTTATGGGTTTAGGGTCTAGGGTTTAGGGCCAAACTTCCTGGATTTTGCAGATGGAGTTCTAGAGGTTTACGGTTTCGGCATCATGAATTAGGGTTTACTTGTTTTAGGTTCTCCGGATCTAGGGATTTTGGCTTACGGGTTTGGGGTCGTCTGAACACACCTGTGTGTGTGTTGTGATGTAACTTGGGCAGCCTGCGACTTAAAGCTAAGGCTAACGGTCGGAATATGGGTTCCGGCTTGTACTCGCCTGGGAAAAGTAGATGCTCCTGAAATACTCGATCCCTAGCACCCGGAAACCATGAAGCACAACAGTTTAAAGCTCAACAACTTATTTGGGGGATCAAGGATTTTCGGAGTAGGAGTAGGTTCTAAGTGGCTGTATGAAAGCCCTGGAGTCAACAGCCGCACAAGCCGAACCCCAGACTTGAAATCCCTAGACCCTAACCTTAGGGATCCAAAAAGGACATCAGCATAAGTATTTTATAGGGTTTCCCTACCCTATCGGGCTTCATTATAAGGGGGTGTATATGGGATATCCCTATCATTGTTTTAGCTTTTGTGCTTTTTTTGGGACCTCTGGCCCTGCCATAAACCGATAGACCTGAAACTCTAAACTCTTATAGGTGGAGCTCGTCAGGGCGATGCAGGCGGCTGTTGAGGACCGGCCACGTCAAGAGAAGGGATTGAGGGCTTCGGGTGTGGGGGTTTGACTGTTTGTTCTCCTTGGACTTTTCTGGGAGTCGGATAGAAAGCATCAATTCTGGGTCTGAGGGGGCGTATTGCTTTCAGGTTTCCCGGGTTGTCGGTTAAGAGTCCAGGGCTAGGAGGTGCGTTGATTGTTTTGTCTTGGTGAGGTCAGACAGCAACTTGCATGACTAAATGAAGCCTTAGGTTAGGACCCTCGTCTGAGGAAGGTTACGGTTGATGATATAAATCCTGCGTTACCCAGAATAAGGAATATACCATTGTTCCCATTGTTTAATTAGGGTCCTCAAGGTAGTGCAGGATTCATATGATCAACCTTTATCCACCCAAGGTATCCAGATTTTCCAGCCTGCCAGCCTCCCAAAGTTGAGAAACCCTAAAGCCGCAACCCTGTAAACACCAAGACCCTGACACCTTTCAGTGATAATAAGATGGCCTCCCCGAGCATCATGCAGCCTCAGGATTACCGCACTCATGAACGAAAGCCCCCGGGATTGCCTCAATCCTGAGCAAAACCTATGCTTTTAGGGCTCCTTAGTTTGACTCCCTGTGGGCGCACGTCCTCCAACGGTAGGCTTTTCGAGTTTCAAATGGTTCCACGCACGAGGAGGGGCGTCCGCTGGTGCACCAGATGCTGATGGGTGGCTCGGCCGGAGTATCTAAAAACCGTAAAAAAGCTTCAAGTCCTAAACCCCGGAGCCTAAACTCTAGATTTGCTAAACCTGATCCCCAACCTTTGACCCCTATCGTGGGGGCCAGGCCAGGGGAAGACAACCGTCGTAACGCCGCTGACCATCCTGGTTCATGGCACTTCGACAAGGAGCTTGGGGAATTCGCAGAGCTTCCAAAAGCAGTTGCTCGAGATCTCAGCGTTCTGGGACAAGTCTTCTGGGTTTGGGGGATTGGGGTTGGGTTTAGAGTTTGGAGCGAATTGTTTTCGAATCGTTGGATTTCGAAGATCGAAGGGGTGGCAGTAGCAGGAGTACCAGCCACAGGTCCAACACAAACTTGAATTTCATTCAGACGGAGGTTATTTGCCACAATCCAACACTTCAACCCCCAAGCCACAAAAGTCACTTGCATCGTTTCAACCCATTCCCTGAACCCCAAACCCTAAACCCCTAAACCCTAAACCCCAAGCCCCTCAACCCCGAAACCCTAAACCCCAAAACCCTAAGCCCCTAAACCCTAAATCCCGAAACCCTAAACCAACGCAGGGCCTGTGTCGTTTGCTGCCCGTCGGCCCTGCTGGAGTTCACCTGCAAAGTGCTGCGGGCGCCCACGGCAGAGAAGAAGAAGGGCTACGGCTTCAGGGATTACAGTACTTGGAGGTTCATGGGTAGTTAAAAGTAGGGTTTAAGTAAGGTAGCTATAACTATAACCCATATTAGGGGACATAACCCCACTTATAACTACCCATGAACCTCCAAGTAGGCTTTAGGCTTCAAGGTTTTAGGATTCAAACAATAGCTTGTGGGATTTGTTGTGCTTCGGACTTCCTTAGGAGTGCCTTAAGTGGCCATGTATCAGTGTGCTTTTCTCAGTCTCTGTGTGTCGGTCCAGGGCACGCACCATCCTCAGCTATGTTACGCACAGGGGGCTTGCATGCGACGGGCTATGTCTTGCCAGACATCTCAGCTCTAAATATACACGATACCGAAACCCAAACACTGAACCCTAAACCAACCCCTGAAGATAACAGGCTATTGGATCCATCGTTGAAGTCTACCCGAACCCTCAAAATCCCCCTATTCGTTAAGCCCATCCCTTGTAGTAGGGTAGGTGGCTTCCCCTAGGCTACTGGACAAGCCTTACCCAACAAGCTGAGCTTGTTTTACGATGTGCAGGAAGGCAAATGGCCATTTGCGGTAGAATGCCGCTAGAAGCAGGGAGGGAGTTGAAGCGCACCCCGTTAACTACTATCTGCTTAAGAACCCCCCCAAAAAATAAAAATAATAATCCCTATATTACCCCCAGAAGGATTTTTTTTTTTTTTGGGGGGGGTTCTTAAGCAAATAATAGTTAAGCAATATAGAAGCCGGAAGTTTTGCCAATGCCGCTCCCAGGGCTCCTGAAAGTATACTATACCGCCCAGAAGAATCCCCTTAGACTTATCTTGTAGAATAGTTTTTGTACACCAAAATCGGAATTAGAGTAGTTATATACACCAAAGTCGGAATCATCTTGCATTATAATCTACTCAAAAACCTTGTTAGAAAAGCTCAGCCCACTATGTTACTACTTTGCCCTCGTCCCCACGGCCCGAGCAATTCAGTTCCTTCACGCCCGCAGTCAGAAATCAATCCTAAACTCTGCAGTTTAGGGCTTCAGGGTTTTAGTAGGGTTTAGCTGTGTTTGGAGTTTAAGGGTCCTGAACCCGGAACCCAGGAGTGGGATCTAGGAGAGCTCAGCGTTCAGTTTTGGGGCTCAGGGGCACAGAACCCCTCAACCCGAAATCCCTAAACCTCCAAACGCGAAGTCCCTAAACCCTGTAAACTCTTAAACCGTTCAGGGGCACGGAACCCTTTACCCACGAGGAGCGCCTGTGCGGCGTGCTGTTTCGCCCGGTGGTGGAGTTCCATTTCACTCGTTCCACACCAGCAACCTGGCAGCTTTAGGATTTAAGAGGTTTATATGGGTAGTTGTCAAAAATACGGTCCCTTTTTGGGTCCCTAATATAGTACGGCGCCTAATACATAGGGTACCCCAAAATAGGGACCCTAATTTTGACAACTTCCCATATAGGCAGGGTTTGAAGCTTAAGGGTTTGAGATTTTCAGGGCTTAAGGGCCGAGATCCGGGCCTTGTCTTGGTGGAGGTGTTGCATTTAGGGTTTAGGGTCTGGGGGTTTAGGGCTTGTGGAAGTTTCATGGGGTGTAGGAATAGGCTTTAGGGTTCCGTGGCATTCGGGCAAGGCTTGCAGAGCTTAAGCTTCGTTTTGGGCTCAGGGCCTGCCGAAACTTGGGCTTTAGACCCTGGGGTGAAGGGTTTAGGGCGCTTCTTTACCTTCAGCCTCTAGCACTTCTTAGGGTTTGAGGCTCGGGATTTAGCATTTCAGGATCTAGGGGCACCCACATCGCGTTTGCCGTGTTTGGGTAGCTTCTTTCTTGGCTGCCCAAACGGAACAGCATCGGAGGTTTTAGCTAGGCACGACTCCCTCGACCCTACTCCGTGCGCCAAGGACGGAACCCTAAGCCCGAAACACCCAAGCAACCCAAGTTGCGAAAACCGTGGATCACCTAGACCCTCAACACTCTGCCCTAACTCCCGAAGCCCCAAATACGCCTTGTAGTGCCGACAAGCCCAGCAACCCTAAACCTCTATAAACCCTAAGTCCAGTAACCTACTGGGCTTCTAGGCACTGAGTAGAGCCCAAAACTACACTTCAGGTTTCGGACGATCACTTCTTCAAATTGCTGCGTCTCGGCTGCACATAGTTCAGGATTTAGGATTCCGAGCCCTCTTACTTACGTAGTAGCTTGCCGGGTTCTGGGTATAGGCATAGGTTTGTATGAACAGGGGCTCGTGCACAGCGTCCTGCTATGTAGTCAGCTGGGCTACTTAGAGTTATCTTATGACCCCAAAATTCCAAACTTTATAAAGCCTTGGGTGAGAGGCAATATCCGCAGTTTCGAGCCTTGAATAATTGGCTGATACTTGCAGTAGCTTGCTATGTTTACCCCCCCCCCTCGGCTGTTTCGGGCCCTTTTTAGATAAATTTGCACTACGTAGCTTATGCATGTAAAGGCTGCAGATTGTTCGGTTTGTTGTATTGCTGTCAAGTTTCGGCTTCATAGATTTCGGGCCTCAGTGCAGGGGAGACTGACTTATGATGTCTGCGAGCTCCACTCCGAAAGTGTCAATCTAGCCCAAGAGAGGTTTCGTTGTACTGGAATTGGGGTGTCGGGGAGTCTTCATGCAACTTCCGCAACCCTCAGTAACCTTCTATCCTCAGCCCTAGAATCTACTGTCGAACCATGAGCCCGACATCCTCCAACACCGTTAACCCCAAGCAGACGCAAATCCGGCCCTGTATTGAAACCCCTTAGAAACCTGAGTTGAGGCTTGGGTTTAAGGTAGGGTTTAGGGTTCTGCAGGCCTATAGAAACCCTGTAGAGACTCTATGACACCGACTCTATGACACCCGAGAAGCAAGCATTTAGAACCCTGAGAACATCCTTTCGCCATTCGGGGCTACAGCCGACGTCTTTGTGGCCCCAACCCGAGGGAGATCAGGGTTATTCCCGGATGGCAAAACGCCAATCAAACCAGGATTTTTGTTTTTGTTTAAATGTTTACTCCGACCTCTATGCTGGCCTTGATGCGTTTTTCAGAAGCCCAAGCAGCGGTTTTTACTGTAGGAACAAGTCACGCTTTTGCCCACGGGGGGCCATGGGGGAAGCGACTTGTGATGCTTCACACAGCACAGGCATGCTCAGGCATCGCGTGCAGCTTCCCGGCCGCATGAGGAAGAGGGTTCGTAATGGAAATCTGGGCTTCGGGGGTCTTCAGTGTGAGTGGATATAGCCTTTCATGCGGTGATGTAAGAAGTAAGACCCAAACCCTAAGCCTTAAAAGCAATTCGCATCTTCCAAACCATGTTGAAGGTGCTCGGATCTCTCGTCAGGGACTCTGAACTTGTCGGTTCTTGGTTGGACAGAGGAGCCCAAGACCCTGAATCCCTCCTTGGGTTGAGGGTATAGGCCTGCGTGCTTCAGTTGGGTGGTGGAAAAATTATGGTCCCTTTGTGGGTCCTTAATATAATACGGCACCTAATCCTTAGGGTACCCGAGAAGGGACCATAATTCCGACAACCCCCCATTTGTTTATGTATAACCAGTATGCATTTCGGCCCAAAGACCCTCCTAGATTTGCCTTTTTTATTCATCTTTTTGGTTCCCACAACAGGACGGAACCCGAAACCCTGAGCCTGTTTTAAAGCCTTATAAGCCCTAGGCCCTAAACGCCTGAACCCTAAGAAGCTTCCAAGGTCCTCTGTTCCGGGCCCACGGCGCTGAAATCCCTGTTGCTTCGCTTCGTGCTCACACTGCACGCCATCGATGTTGCTCAAAGCAAGGCCTGCGGGTCGGTGGGGGCGGGGGGGAGGGGGTTTAGGGTTTAGGGTTTAGGGTTTAGGGGGGGTGGATACGACACATGTAACACTACTTGGAGCCCTAGGGTTGCTAAAGAGTCCTTCGGAATTCTGAACCCCCGATGAGACCCTTAGTAAAAGGCACGCCAGTCCCAGTCTCATCCGCCCTGCATGCAGGAAGTGGAGAGGACCGAGGTGAATCGCAGCAAGGTGCCTCTAGCGCCTGTGTCTGTCTAATATGGGGGCCTAAATGATTACCAATACTATTTTGGGGGGTTTCCTAATTGTAATTATAGCTCAGTATAATGGGCCCCAACACATGGAGGAATAACCGTCAGTGTAGAAACTTGAGCGGGCTGGGAGTATATATGTTTGTGTTTACTTGTGGTACAGGAAGCGACACACCACGACCATGTGCCACTGGGCAAGGATCCTCGGCGGGTTGTCATGAAAGCCCACGTTGTACGTTCTGTAGATGAATACTGATCTTCACAAGTTCACATGTTCTCGGAAGACGATGGATACAGCTTGTAAAGTGGATACTGCTTGTGCCGGGGCCGGCGGCAACAGACACCCATGTCAGAACTGCGAAAACGAGGCCATCAAGAGTAGAATCACGTAGAGCTGAGCCCTAGACCCAACCACTATACCCCAAACCCCAAGTCCCCTAGCCCGCCTCAAAAGTAAGGTCCTTACACCGTTATACTATGAATCCCAATATGGTGGGACCCTCATCTAGTACCCTAAATAGTAGTAAAAGGTCCCCGAACTAAGGTATCCCCAATTTTCGGAGACTCTAAACCCTAAACCCTTTATAGATCCCTTTAAAGGAACCCTTATTCAAAAAGCCAAATGCAATGGCCTTTCCTGTATCCGCCAGACAGCTCTTACAGCACACACATGGCAATCCGGCGCTCAATACTAGTTGTTTTACACGCAAAAGACTGCTGAATCCTGTCGTGTGTCTTCTGCAGACGTGCTTACAGCACCTGTCAGATTAGACTACTTTGTGAAGGCACTTACCGGCCTAACTGTAAAATCTGTACACTACACCATGCTGCATGGCCCAAGACCGTGTTCGCGTAGCCTTGTCTTGACAGCGGCAACGTGTAGCTTGCTTCAAAAACGCACTGCCACTCATGTACACTCAGCATACAGCCATGTTCCGACATGAGTGATCGAGGGATTTCTTCACTCCTCCTCAAGCGTGCCGATAGTGCACGATTGCATTCACCACTCTTCACCAGGACGATCGTAGAGTGGCCTTCCGCCTCTTCGCAGAATCTCATCGATTCCGCCCTCTCTCGGACCTTGGGGGTCCCTTCCTTGATGTCTCACGCAGTATTCACAAATCCTCAAAGTCTGTACTCTGTTTTGTGTTCCACGATGACGAAAAGCATGGCAGGGATTGTAAACATGAAAACATGGGTTTCCCGGAACTATATGGACTTGCTCCGGCACTCGCACCTCTGTACGCACCTCAGTGCGGACTTCTGGCACAACAGGAGCAAATGCAGGCCCAGTCGTCTGCGTCGACCTGTCTCTCTGATCTGCTCGGTAAACAGTGCGGCCCCCAAGCGGAGTGCTTGGTACTCGCCCGGAAGTTTCAGCTCGATCTCCAGGACCTGCTGAACTCTCTGCTCTGGACAAGTCGTGAGCTCGCCTGATTTCAACTGGTCGTTGTCGCTCAAGTTCACGGGCTGCTCTTCTGGAATCCAGCTCATCACGTATAGCCCTGGCTGTTGTGTCTCTGATCCTCTGCAATCTCCTCATTCTCCGTTCTGTTGCTCCAGGAACAGCGCCATAGTACACATGCCAACCAGCATACTTCAGTAGTTCCCAGGCTCCAATCCAAGACAGAAGAATGACACCAAACACAGCCCATGCGAGCATCCCATGATCAACAGCTAACGGCTCATGAGGTACAAGCTCAAAACCCTCTGCTTGTCCAACTGCTTGAGACAAAACCAGCAATGCAATCAACACACTCGGAGTCCCAGGTCTTGTCGAGCAACTTGCAGCGGACTGAGCAACATAGCCTTGAAGCTCCTCTCGACTCCATAGCCCAATCAACTTCGACAACTGTGCCAGTCTTGAAGACGACAAGGGCTTCGTTAGCGCATCCGCTAGCTGACCTTCTGCAGCACAATGCTCAGCTTCAAAGTCGCCTTCGTCGATCCTTTCGGCAACCCAACTGGAGCGAATCCTCAAATGTCTGGTTCGCTGTGATCCACTCCCTTTCTGAATTGCCAACGCCGCCGTAGAATCAGTCTTCAGAAGCTTGATCAACTTCTTCCACCCAAGCTCTTCTATCATCGCAGCAATGTTCGTCATGATTAGTGCACCCTCGGTAACCGACACCAGCTCCGCCTCAGCTGTAGACAGCGTTACTAGCGATTGCCTTGACGATTTCCATGCCAGAGGTGCTGACCCCAGCTCGATCAAAATCCCGGTGTGGGATCTCGTTCCTTCTGGGGCATAACTCGCATCGTTAACTGGCTCCCCTCTGACTGGATCACAAGCTGATATGCGGCAGTTCCTTGTAAAAACCCAATAGCCTTTCTAGTGATCATTGATGCCCTTCGGGGTGCTTTTGAACTTAGGGACGCAACCAGGGATGCGGTATATGACATGTCAGGACGAGCTCTCTGGGCCATCCATAAGATCTCTCCCGCATAGCGCTGAGCTTCCCTGAGGTCTTCCGTAGAAAACACCGCCTCGTCTGGACTTGACTCAAACTTTGCCAGGTCGCGACTGACAGGAATCAAGTCCCTTTGGGTTTCTTTCACTCCATGGGTCCTGACCAGCTCAGCAATATATGACTGCTGACTTAGCGCAAACCCATCAGGTATTGTCTCGATTTCGATACCCAAAAACCTGATGCGACCTTCTGAAGCAAATTCCAGTGCACTCGTGCGCCACAACGCCTGTATTGCCTTCGCCACGGCCTTGATGACTGGAGGTAGCGCGCGTATGAGGATATCGTCGACATAAATCACCAACAGCCCTATTAAGGTTGCTCCTTGAACAACTTTCCACCAGCTGGCTTCAACACGACACCTCATCAGCTCAATGCGCTGTCCATCAAGCTCAATGACTAAGCGAGCAACTTGTTCATCTCTGTAATCGCCCCACCACTTAGGCGATTCTCTTAGTCCGTAGACTGCTCTCGTGAATTCCCAAAGTTCGTCGGGCTCACATAGCCCGGCCCGGACGAGAGCCCGGGGTGGCTGCCCTATGACTCTGTAGCCACATCTTTCAGCACTGATTGGAGTCAGAAGGAATGCGCTCGTGATGTCCAGGATAGCTGCGTCCCAGCCTTCTTGGCTGGATATAGCTAGTGAGCTCCTGACAACTTCAGCAGGGGCAGTAGGCGCAAAGGTTTCTTGTCCACTCTCTTGCATCATATTGCCACAAGCAACAATTCTAGCCTTCCGCCGAAACCACTCCTGGCTCTCGATCTCTACCTCAGTAGGGGGTTTTGCTGTATAAACGATCTTCATCGGCACCAATCGAGCAGCTCCAGTTCGCAAATCCTTCTGAACTGCAGGGTCTGACATCTTCCTCTTCAACACTGCTGGCTCAAACGAACCCATTTCTTTGCCTATTGCTGGCAACCAGTGCTCAATACATTCCAGTGCCTCTGCTGGGTCTACTGTATGCACGATGTCCAACGGCCCCGTAAGTGAGCTCAACAGCGACTCTATGTTCTTGGTGTACACAACTTCATTCTTACACAGCTGAGGATGCCCATCACACGACGCAATCATCGCCTTGGGAACGCTTTCCGGATCACCATCTCCTAAAGGAATGAACATATCCCACAAGCTCCACTCCTCCTGCTCGACTTGTTGCGGTCCACCATCATCACCTTGTGGAAGGCCAGGAGGTAGATTTGATCCTGGGACAAACAGCGGTTCCCCACTGGAAGTAGGGATTTCCTCTAGGTTGCCACCGCTCTCACCATTCTCCTCCTCAGACTCTATCACCTTCTCTTTGTCAATCTTGGTTACTGACAAAACTCTCAAGGCAACTGTAGGCTCTTGATCGTATAGATCGGCTGGGACTGGAAACCCCAATGCAGCTAAGACTTGCCGTTCAGGACCCTTGAGGTTTTGCGGAACTCCTGGAGTGTAGCCAATCAGCACAACTCGCAAGCCTTTCCAGGGCATCACTGCATGCCTTCGGTGTGGGTTAAAGGCAAAAGGCTTCCTCTCCGTCAACGGCTGAACACACCCATAGCGAGGAGACCCTTTATGATCGATCATCTCAATCACCTTGCCTCGTACCACGTCGCCGTCTCCAAGCTCAATCCACAGATCTCCTCCTCGACGGGGCAACACCAAAGGATATACAAAATTGTCCTTCCCGACAAGGTTGTTGACATCGATGTGAACTTCCCTGGTGGTGTTGACTGACACGTACAATGCCGAAAACTCTGCCTCCGGACTCCTTTCCCGCATCAATCTCACCAACAGTTCCGCTCCCCACGGCTTGTCATACGTGACCTTGGTAAGACCAACAGAGCCTCCATGACGAAACACCCCAAACTTTCGATCTCCTTCACCTAGACTCAAGGTTACTTGAACGGCCAGGCTGTGCGCCTCCTCCTCATCCCAGTGTTCCAACACGCGGTTGATCTCGTTCTTAAGGTTTTCATTTCCGAACACCGGATTGGATTTGGAAATTGGGACCACATCCCCACTGCCACGAGCCTTTTCTGAGACCCTTTTGCTCGGAGGTCCCGGTAGATCAGCTTCCACTTCACCTTCAGGTAGACCAGGATCCACCACATGAGCCCGAACATGTACTGTGTGTATGAACTTCTCCCCATCCTCATTGGACACATACACAACATGGCCTCGGCGGAGAGTATCAGACAGCCCCACATAGAAGCCTTCTATCCACCGCGGACTCAAATCATCAGGCTTCCCAGGCTCCGCGCTTCCACCATATTCTCGTCGTCGAACCAAAACCTTCGTCCCGAACGGAGCCACAAGCTTAGTTTCCATACCCAGCACAGTGGCGCGCTGAGAAGCTGTAGCCATTGCCACAGCTTGTGGCCAAAGCTTCTGCGGCAGCTTTGCTCCTATCAGGAGGGTCCTTGCCCTCTGCTTCACATACTTCACCGCATTCTCGACCGCGCCATTTTGTTGATGTAGTCCACCTTCGCTAGTAGTGAACCGTATTCCCTGATTCTTTATCCATTGCCTGGTGGACTTGGCATAGAATTCCATTCCACGATCACAATGAAATCTCACAATCGGGATGTTGAGCGCGGCACAATACAAAACAACATCTTGTACTGCTTCCAACACCGTGGATCCCTTGTTGTCCTGCAGTCCCGAAGCGAAAATCAGGTTGACGAGCTCTGGTGCTGCTACATCAACATCATCATCTCCTCGACGTTTCCTTCCTTCACCAGGCTCATCTGACTCCTCAACATCCTCCTCCTGGATTCCTTCACCGTCACCATCTGGGGGAGG